TGTCTCTGAAATACAACATAAGATTATCAGAGACCCCATCAAGTACAATTGTACTCGATAACGCAACCCTACACAGTCTCCGATATCCAGGGATTCTTACTTGGGTCTTCCACCGACCCGGTGTCTTCGGTAGTACGGGCCCAATACTACCAACCACACCGTATCAGTATTCGTCCCAAATCTTCCTCCCCAAACCCCGAATAATGAGTACTCTACTTCTAGTATGCACTATCTACTAGCACGCTACCGAATATCTCATATAAGCAACCTCCCTAGACTAAGGCATCACAAAACAGGCCATTCTAGTCCTATCATGTATACCTAGTCTTCTAGCATGCATAACAATTCATAATTCAGTGCATACATAACATTGTAAGGTATTCTGGGGATCTTTACCGTTCGGGCGCTGGCTGATCGTACACACTGCTCCGTTCTTGTTCACCACTTTACCATTTATAAAAATTTATGTCTTTATTAATTTTAAAAGATCTTTCCTCAAATCCTCGGTTTGAGTTCAGTTACACCCGAAGGTACACCCGAATACCTCAAACCAAGGCTCTGATACCAATTGTAATACCTCAATTTTTCAAATAAAATTTTCATTTAAAATAAAACTATTTTATTCAAACAAGAGTATTTATTACGAGTTTCATTTCAAAGTACAATTAAAAGAATCCCCAAGATCTCCAACAATGGCAGTGTGTACGCGTCACGCCGGCGCCTTCCCACGGTCCTCGCTAGTACCTGAAACATATACATAACAACTTGTAAGCATAAATGCTTAGTGAGTTCCCCAGTATACCACTTACACATATACGCCTTTCCAGGCCCGGACCTTCCGGTCCACAGTACAATGCCTTCCGGCCCATAAGATAATTGCCTTCCGGCCCATAAGATAGATTGCCTTCCGGCCCATAAGATAATTGCCTTCCGGCCCATAACATGATTTGCCTTCCGGCCCATAAACATATATAACACATAATACATTTACTCTAACACATATATCACATATATCATAAATCATCACTGACCTTCCTATCACATAATACATTGCCTTCCGGCCCATAGAAACATACATAGCATGCATAGCAACTATTCCTTTCAATTATAGCACATATAAAAGACATAGCATATCCGACCTTCCGGTCACACAGTCAAACCCTTCCGGGTACAGTATAGTGAGAAGACTCACCTCGTAGTATGTAAGCTATAGACTCTTGAAACTACTCGCACTCGATCCGCCAATCTGCAGGCTCCCTATAATACCATAGACCCTTATTAATGATCTTATCAAACAAGACAACTGACTCTACGAGATTACATGCAGGTCAACTCTGGTCAACGGTCAACTTGACCGGACTCGTCGAGTACAGAGGCGACTCGACGAGTCTAAACGTCCTCCCCAACTTCCCCTGTTGTTTCCCTTTCTACTCGTCGAGTATCCCTCTTGACTCGACTAGGTCCTCGTGGAAGAATCGCGGGGCCACCCCGACTCCACTCGCCGAGTCCGAAGGAGACTCGACGAGTTCCAATGAATCCTCAACTACTCGCCGAGTCTGAAGAACAACTCGGCGAGTCCCTGTAAATCTTTAAGCTACTCGCCGAGTTTGATCATTGGACTCGGCGAGTCCGTGCCATGCAGTCGATCACTTGTTCCCTGAAATATGCATGGTCCCGAGACGTGCACTCATGGGACTTTCTGGACATCTAAGTACCCTATCACTGGGGTATAAACAACTGGGTAACACACAATATTCTATCAAATCCCCAAATGGGTCTCACAAACCCTAGATTCGTGTACAACACTAAAACGACAGAAATGGTCCGAGTATTACCTGAAAAAACGTGTTCTCTGTGTCCCCAACCTTCAGAACTCAATCCTCTTGATCTTCCTTTGACCAAAACCTTGCCTCTTCTTGCCTAACAATCTCCTCAAGGTCCCAATAGCCTTCCCTTCTCCTCTAGTCGTTCACAGATGCTTAGGTTCTTCACAATCGGCCAAAAAAACGTACAATGACGGCTTAAGAGGCTTTTTATACGTTCCAAACTAAACGGCTAGGGTTTCTGCTGAACAGCGTCGACTCGCCGAGTCCATATCTGGACTCGTCGAGTCCAGTCGCGCATCCGCGACCAAGCCTGTGGTCCTACTCGGCGAGTCAGGCACCAACTCGCCGAGTCCCTCCCTAAATTGTCCCAAAAATAGTTTCAAAACAATACCTGAAATTCCGAGCTGTTAAATGCAGACTGCGCAGAGTCGGCAGAAGAGCTACGCTGACAGGAGGCGTTCAGACTTGGAGTTCCAGGTGGGAGATATGGTTCTTCTGAAAGTCTCACCTTGGAAAGGTATCATCAGGTTCCGGAAGAGGGGCAAGCTGGGCCCCAGATTTATTGGTCCTTTCAGGGTTATGGCCCGGGTGGGTCGGGTTGCTTATCGGTTAGATCTTCCTGAGGAGCTTAGTCAGATCCACAACACTTTCCACGTGTCGCAGTTGAGAAAGTGTTTGGTGGATGAGTCAGCAGTCGTTTCCCTAGAGGATATTCAGGTTGATAGCAGCCTGAATTATATTGAGAGGCCGATGACGATTCTGGATCGGAAGATCAAGACCTTGAGGAACAAGGTCATTCAGCTAGTGAAGGTGCAGTGGCAGCACCGGAAGGGATCTAAATGGACGTGGGAGGCTGAGGAAGAGATGAGAACGCACTACCCGGAGTTATTCGCAGATCCAGCCATAGCAGACTTCGAGGACGAAGTCTAAGACAAGTGGGGGAGAAATGTAACGACTCGTTCCCGGTATGTTAATTAATTGTTAATTGTCTAAAGTTTTCAAGAGGGACTCGGCGAGTTCTAGCCTGACTCGCCGAGTTGGGTCGCGTATTTTGTGCACGCGGGAGCCGGGGACTCGGCGAGTCCATATCTCGGACTCGGCGAGTCCGTCCGTCTGGGTGAAACCCTAAATCCCCGGGTTTGCCCACTATTTAAACCACATTATAGCCTCATTCTCGCCACTTTCACCCAGAGAACACAGTGAGAGAACCCTAATCCTCCCTTGAGAGCTTATAAGTGATTTGGTGCCATTTTTGTGAAGGTGTGAAGAAGGAGAAGAAGAAAGAAGCAAGGAAACGAGTTGTAGTGCAAAGATCCAAGGGCAAATCTGAGTTTATTGAGGTATTTTCGGAGTTCCCTTCTGGTTATATGCTTTAAACTTCCACTAGAGCTCTTCTAAGAGCTATTTGATGTTTGTTCCAAGCCTTATGTTTGCTTGAATGTCTTAATAAGTCGAAATACCTTTGGATCTGAATGTTGGGGTGTTGTAGAGCCCAGATCTACTGTCTTTTTGGAGTTACATTGCATATTAGCCATGGATCTACTCATTTTGTGCATCTTTTAGCCTTATTTCCTTTATTCATGAGGTTGTGCACGTAAAGTTGGAAACTTTACGTGGTAAAACAGCTTATTGGACCCAGATCTACCATTTGCATGTGTTGGATTCAAGAGAAATCGAGTAAAAACTAGCTGCATGGCAGCGACTCGGCGAGTCGGGATGAGCGACTCGGCGAGTCGGGTCGCGAGTCCCTGATTCCTTCGTTTTTAGCAGTGCCGAGTGCACCCAGTGAGTTAGAGAGTGGACTCAGCGAGTTGAGGGTAGACTCAGTGATGGAGGGACTCGACGAGTTGTTCATACAACTCGGCGAGTCCAAGGCAATCTCCTTTGGATCAAGAACAACTCGTCGAGTCTGTTCATACGACTCGGCGAGTCGGATGAAGATTGTCTGAGTTCTTGGATCAAGAGGGTACTCGTCGAGTCGATGCCACACTCGACGAGTCGCAGTGAGTATGAGTTGGAAGTGAGAGTGAGACTCGGCGAGTTGGGCGGCCCAACTCGGCGAGTCAGCCCCAAAAGTAAGTTGACTTTGACCTAGGGTAAAAGGGTCATTTTACCCCAAGTGCAGTGTTTAGTATTTGATTGAGTGTATTCATGGACTTGTAGCCGAGGAGATTCAGGAGCAGCAGCCGTTAGCTTTCAGAGACACACACTCAGCCGCCAGTTTACGAGGTGAGTTTCCTTCCAGTAGGGACGGGTCTAAGGCCACAATGCCGGCCCGTCCAGATAGCAGTAGTTTCCGGACTTGATCCGATGCAGTAGTTAGTATGTTTGATGCCTTTGTGGCTCAGACAGGATTCGTGAACTATGTTTTATGTGTTATGTATTATGTGTTCCGGGCTACGGCTCGATGCAGTATGCAGTATATGTGTTCATGCTAGTTGTTATGATATGCTATGCTATGCTCAGTTCCGGACTTCGGTCCGATGCAGTCAGTTTCGGACTTCGGTCCGATGCAGTCAGTTCCAGACTCCGGTCCGATGCAGTTAGTTCCGGACTCCGGTCCGATGCAGTTAGTTCCAGACTTTGGTCCGATGCAGGGGACAAGGTCCCAGTCAGTTCCGGACTTCGATCCGATGCAGTTAGTTCCGGACCTTGGTCCGATGCAGGGGACAAGGTCCCAGTCAGTTCCGGACTTCGGTCCGATGTAGTTTCCGGGCTTCGTCCCGATGCAGTGGGCAAGGCCCGATATGTGTTTATATGATATTGTTATTGTATGGTATGTGGTATTTTGGGGGAGCTCACTAAGCTTCGTGATTACAGTTTCAGTTTTGGTTTCAGGTACTTCCGCAAGCAAAGGGAAGAGCTCGGGATGACGGCATCGCACACACCACCGCCTCAGCTTTAGCCTGGGATTGATTTAGTTGTTTGATTTGATGTAGTATGATACAGTTTTCCGCACAGTATTTTATCATGTTTTGGAATACATCATGCATGGTTTTATTATATGATACTCTGATTACAGTTTTGATTATATTAAAAACAAAAATTTTTGGGTCGTATTTTTGGGTCGTTTCAACAACACTCCCTACACCACCAATACCTTGTACAAAGAACAATATTGAAATATGTAACCAAACGAAGTATGAAATATTAAGATTCTAATGGAAGGGTAGTTTAGTCTAAAGAATGATGAATTGAAAAGATGGAGTCAGTACAAACAGCTATGGCAACTGAAAAATCCCATATTCTTTCGTAATTGTCCACAATACCCATCCGCTGCAGTGCCATGAGCCTGCTATAAGGGTTGATGTCTACAACCTCTACACTTATATCCTGACATCAAATCAAAATCATCATTACAATTAATCACTTTGGTTTACATAAATTAATTGTAGCTGATATAGAGTATAGGTCCAGACAAAAGTCAAAACCTTGACTTTTGATCGACGAGTTGTTCCAGCCATTGCAAGAATGATGAGATTCTCTACACAAAATTGAATCTGCCACCACAAAAGTCATAATTAATAACAACAAAGGTGAAATGAATCAGAATTCATTAACTTATTATGCTAAAGGCATGCTGATATTTCAACTGAACATAGTTAGATAAGCATGCTGTTAAGTTAGTGGGATTACTAATTAGTATGAAAGAAACAAAAATCATGCAATTGATCAATTGAAACTACCAGTAACTTTATTATGCATATGCATGTCCTATAATCAGATTAGCTTCAAAGACACACACACACATATCTTCCTATTCTAATAAAAGAATAGGTTTAGTCTCCTATTGACAAATGTCATACAATTAGAACACCTCATTAATGTTATATATCCCTTATCATGCCACTTGTCAAACTATTAATTATTCATTTCAAATTAAAATTAAATTTTTTTTCACTCTAACTACATTAAACTAATAATTGATTCTTTTATTTAAATTTCAAATTTTAAATTTTCCCACTCTAATTATATTAAATTAATAACATTAGATTCAAAAATAAAATAAAATTAATACATATTATAAGATGATATAACTTCATGTATTTATTTAAATCAACGATTATAATTTTATATAACTAAAAAAATATCTCTTAAATAATAATTAATTAATAATTTTGACTTCTTTTTATGAAAGTTTAATTGATTTTATAACCGTGGTTCTTACGGGTTATAAACTAGTATATATATATATATATATATATATATATATATATATATATATATATATATATATATATATATATATATATATATATATAACACTTGTCATTTATTTCATTTTCCATTTATAATATATTATTAATTAGTTTTCATAAATTAAACCTACCATAATGATACTAATTTCAAATTTCAAATTTCAATTTCAATTTCAATTTCAATTTCAATTTAAAATAAATTTACAGTTTAAACATTTGTGTTTAACATTTTGTTATAATTAACCTGTTTAGTATACGGGTCTGATAAGTAAACAATAATTTTAATTTGTTTATTTTTTGCATGTTTTTTTTCTCATAATTTTTATTTATTTCAAATTTCTAATTCAAAGAAACTTCTCATTTAGTCGTTTCTATTTAACATTTTGTTTTAATCAACCCGTATAATATACGGGTTTTACAACTAGTATTATAATAATCCAAACATGAGAAATTCAAAAATATACAATGTAGTATCAAAAAAGTAATTTAATTTCAATTGCCGGCAACAAAACGTATGTAGCCTTCACAATAAAAAAAGAAGTTGAAATTAAAGCTTAACTTTGCGGAATGAAAAGAAATCCCTTTCCAAGTGAAGATTTCTCCGGGGATGGTGATGGCAGCAAGTGGTTCAAGCCGCATCTTTGGCCGGTGGAAGTGTTTGAAGACGTTTGATGAAGGTGGATTTTAATAAGGTAAATAAGAAACTGATTACTAAAATAAAGGGATATTAATAATTACCAAAATTAAATATGGTAAACATTACTATTATAATCTTTAATAATTTAATATTTGCTAATTTTGATTGGTGTATTGAGGAACACAATAGTTGCTAGAAACATTTGAATCTAACTTTCTCTCTCTCTCTCTCTCTCTCTCTCTCTCTATATATATATATATATATATATATATATATATATATATATATATATATATATATATACACACACACACACACACAGAGTGGCGGACGCAGAACGTTTTAGTAGGGGTGACACTAAAAAAAAGTTTCCGAAAAAATCTAAATTAGTAGTTGCCCTTGTATTTTAAGCCGGTGCACCTAATAGAAAAAACATAAAAACAACATATTTTTTTTTACATTACGTACCAGAATCGGAGCAGTGGCCCGGGATCCTCCGGGCTCCACTATGGTATGTCAATGTCGGCTAATCTGAGTCAACAAGAACTAACCCACAACCACTGCCATAGAATTCTTAACCTTATTCCCAAAATACCCTTCAGTCAAAAATCCCCATATCGATCTCGCCTTGAACAATTGATTCTTCCCTCTTTCGCCATATAATTCTAATCCAACCAACCAATAAAGCCATCAGAAAGATCAAACCAGGACCAGACATGTTTAGAAAAAGAAACGTACCAAAAATGCCCCTGGTTAATACCACTCCCAACTGAACGCACATAATCATCTACTTTTATTTTTCTTCCCACCCAGGCACCAGCGATAACAAGAAGGCACCTGCGATAACAAGAAAGCATCGACATCACCCAAACAGCCATCTAAACCTATTTATTAAACTTCATTGACTTACATTCAAAATAAAAAGAAAAGAGAAGAGAATCATTACAGATCGAAACAACTGCCCCATCGAGACCCCTTCTCTCATTCCAGTCGAGACAGAAGAAGCGCCCTCCAGCTGTCATTGTTGTTTTCATTTTCTCACCCAACGATTGATCGCCTCCCCTCCTCGTGGCTGCGTGACCACCGAACAACCCATTTGCTCATACCGTGTGACACCACCATGATAAAAACAATAAATAGTTTAAACATAAGAACCGTGATACTAACAATAAATAGTTTAAACATGTAACTGGTATGTATGAAACATTATACATTCATAGATGATTACCATGATTATGTGTCGTATGTCCTATTTCTACTAGATCAGATATATACTATGTCCCACTAATCTTCCTTTCTTTATTCAATCGAAGCTGCAATAACCCTAACCCGTTAAAACAATGACTTGAATCTTGTGGAACAAATGACTATCTCTAGTCCTATTACAACATAAAATCCAATAATTAGCTAGTCGCTTTGCTGGTTTCCCAACCCCAAAAGACAAATAAAAACCTTCTTCTAACACATGAGATTTAATGCAGTTCTGAGGTTCAAAAAATTAAACAAAGAAATAACTAGTAAACCTTTAGGTTGATAGTGGCTTCGATATTGATTGAAGATCAAAAGGCGGCAATTAGTGGTGGTGACAGAAGATCGGGTGGCGGCGTTCTAGTATCGTTTGAAGATCAAGAGGCGGCGATTGGCAGTGACGATTGAAGACCACGTAGCAGTGATTGAAGATGTCGATTGAAGTGGATTTCGACTGAAGTTAATGAGAAGAAGGGCTAAAAAACGAACGAGGATTGAAGATAGTGATGGTGACTCCAACGTGAGGTGCAATGGTGAACATATTTGAGTGGCGTATGGACGATGGAGGCGGAACTATTGATGAAGCCCTAGGTATCCAAGGCAGATATAAAGATACGGGAATCAAAAAGGAAATAGACGAGACTTGAGAAATTTTAGGAGATAGATAAAGATTTAATTACTATTATACCCTTATGACAATTTTAATGTTACACTTTAATTCCTGTAATTTTAAGAGTTTTCATAAATAGCCCATTAGATAATAACCTTAGATTTAGTTTTTTAAATGGTTCAGATTTGTTCTCGCGTTCTCAACCTTTTAGGTGTTCTCATTTGATCCTACTCCTATATATATATATATATATATATATATATATATATATATATATATATATATATATATATATATATATATATATATATATATATATATATATATATACATACATACAAAACCTTAACGTGAAACGACTATTACGATATGATACAATTGTTAAAGGAACACCGTGAAGTCTTACTACTTCCTTAACGTAAGCATTTGCAAGCTTATCCATAGACCATCTCTCATTTCCTGCTATGAAGTGTGGACTCTTAATGAAACGATCCACGACTAACCAAATCATGTCATGTCCGTTCTTCATGCTGTGCTGTTTAGTCATAAATTCAATGGTGATGTCTTCCCATTTACCCATGGGTACATGTAAAGGTTCTAAACTCCCATACGGTTTATGATGTTTTGCCTTAACTCTCGCACATGTAATAAACTCGTCCACATATTTTGCTACATCAAGTTTTATCGTCGGCCACCAGTAGTAGGGTTTCAGATCCCTATACATTTGTATGTTGCCGGGATGAATCGAGTACATGGTCTTGTAAGCTTCTTCCATCAGAAGATCTCTTATTTCTCCCATTAACATTTTTCCGAAACGTTCTTCCTTTTGGTCATTTTTCTCTGAAGCTTCTTCTTGAGCTTTCTTAATGCTTTCCACAATTGTTGAGACAACTTCAATTCTTGGCGCTCTTGATCTTTTCCTTTCAAGGTTTACCTTTCGTCTTAGAGCATTAGTTAAAACATTTTCTTTACCAGCATGTTAAATTATCTTATAGTCATATCCTTGAGTGACTCTAGCCAACATCGTAGTCTCATGTTCAATTAGAGGACATTCAGGTTGATGATCGCCTGAACAACATTGAGATGCCGATAGCAATCTTGGATAGGAAGTCGAAGGTCTTGTAGAATAAAGAGGTTCCCTTGGTTCATGTTCAGTGGAAGCATCGGAAAGGATCCCAGTGGACCTAAGAGCTAGAGTTCGAGATACGTGAGTAGTACCCAAAGTTGTTTTCGGAGGATGACTTCGAGGGCGAAGTCTGATTCTAGTGGGGGAGAATTGTAACATCCTGAATCCCAGGAATACTATTTAATTACATTATATGCATTTCTTAAGTGAAACTCAACGAGTTGGAGGCCCCAAATCAATGAGTAGAGATTGAGTTGGTTGCGTGATTTTATAGAGTCTACTCGATGAGTTAGAGGACTCCAACTCAATGAGTAGGAGTTGAGTGTGAAAACCGTAATTTTCAGGGTTTGTACCCTATTTAAAGGAGCTTAAGTCTTTCATTGCGCCTCCCTTATCACCTTAACACACTGAGAGAAACCCTAATCGAGCAATTACCTTTTATAAGAGAGAGAGGGAGAGGGAGAGAGAGAGAGAGAGGCTAATATTGTATGTTTTAATGCATTCTTAAAAGGAGTTAGTGAAGAAAAAGTCTTGGAGCGAGAAGGAACCCTTGGATCTAGTTTTCTTTCAGTGCTAGCTACTATTTGGAGGTAAAAAGCTATCACCTTGATCATTTGTTTGGTTAGATCTCTTCACTAGGGAGTTTATGGCCTTTTCCATCTTCTCTTTGAGTCCTTAAGTTGTTTGAGCATGCCATGAATTTAAGACTTCAGATTTGGACAATATGAGGTCCCTTGGGCCTAAAGATCCAAGCTTTATCAAGCTATTGGTCAACTTTTAAGCATTAAACCCTCTATTAAGCTTTAGGGTGGCAAACGTAGCCTTAGATGTCATGCATGAACGTAAATCTTGCAGCTTTACATTATATTTCAGCCTTAGAAGGCTAGATCTAGAGTATGTGACCTTAGTTCTGCTTAAAAAATTTTGAATGAGAGAACAGACTGAAGGGACTCGACGAGTTGGTGAGCCAATTCGATAAGTTAGTTAGGGTTTTCCCCTATGGTCTTGACGCATTATAGACTTAGCGAGTTGGTGAGAAAAATCGACAAGTTGAGTTGGATTTCCTAGATTTATCAGAAAAAAACAAAGAAAACTGACAAGTCTCATAGATGCAATCGACAATTTGGGTCAACATAGATTGTTGACTCGGTGCTGACTTCCGTTGACTTTTAGGGTTTGGTCAAGATACGGATTATGGAGACCATGGAGGGGTAACATGGTCTTTCACCCTTTCCGAGAGTTAGAAAAGGGGGTTAACTTAAAATCTTTAGGGCTGTTATTATAAAGTGTTAATTAGAGATGACTATGATGTGTAGGGGGAGTCTAGACCGATCGTTGAGTACGAGACCTATTTGCTTTGCTTAAGTACGAGGTGAGTCTTCTCACTATACTTAACTGAGTGGTAATACTGTGTGATTAGAGGGTGTTATATGCTTATACTAAGTTATTTGATGTCATGTATTTGTCTTTGTGATTTATGTTGTATATTATTTTTCACCTTATTGAGTTAGGACCAGAGGGTCCAACCCGAGTTGTGAGATCGGAGGGTCTTCACTAAGACACATTGACTCGAGTTGTGAGATCGGAGGGTCTTCATTGAGACACATTGACTGGAGGGTCCTTATCGAGATATATCCATGAGAGGCTAATTATTTGCATGTGGTATTTTGGGGAACTCACTAAGCTTTGTGCTTATAGTGTTGTGTGAAATGTGTTTCAAGTACCTCTCAGGATCGCGGGAAGGCATCGACTTAATTGTACACACCAGCTAGAGATTATGTTTTTGAGGATTATAGGATATTATCAAACATTTTGTTGTCTTGTGTTTTGAACAACTTGTACATTTTGTGTTTTGAGAAATGTGAGATTGTGTTTTAAGTGGTTTTAAAATGAAAATTTTATTTGAAAATTTAGAGTGTTATAGACAAATAATATATTTTGGTTCAATTCTCGAACCATGACACCCCAAGCTTGTAGAGAGAGGAGCTTTGGCGATTTTGAGGTTGAAGAAGGATCTTTGAGCGATCAAGCATGCTAGAGGAAGGGTTTGAGCATCAAAAGCCCTTAAGGTAGCCATCTTCTTCATTTTCAAGCATTTTAGGGCTTTAATGATGTTTTGGTGACCTGATCTAGTTGTGCAAGATTAGCCATGAATAACTTATTATTAATGTTTATTTAATTATTTAGAAGCTTATTACATGGTTTTTATGGAGATTCCTTAGTTAAATCCATGTAATGATTGTTAGAGTTTAAAACCCTAGTTTTGGAAAATCATGATATGGGTGATATGTGTTATGAGCTTTATAGATTGAGTGTTGATAAGATATGTTAGAGTAGTTTAACAAGCTTATTTGGCAACAAAATGTCAAGTTATAGCTTTACCCAAAATATACAGTTTTGTCTAAAATCTCTATTTAGGTCTTAATGTTTTAAGACATATTTAAATGGTTAATATGTATGAATGACATAAGTTGTGGCAAGGAAGGAGTTGGAGTTCTTCAAGAGAAGATTTGGAGAAATTGGAAATAGGTTTTTATTCTGCTTCAAGTTATGAGTTATAACTTTCTTTTAGATTATGATTTGATGAGATAGATTGAATGCTAAAGTATGTATGTATGTATGAATACATGAAAGTAGAGTATGTCATGTTTATGTTATAATCAAATGAGTTTATTTGATGAATTGTTAGTTATGTTATTATGTGCATATATAATGTGATGAGTAATAGATAATAATGAGATCTTTTAGAGTTTTTGCATGGAAATTGTAGATATGATATAGTGTAGTAAATTTTATACTGATAAGAGTAGAGACATGTGGTCACTTATGTGACTAGTTGTATATTGAAGAGTAAAAGAGATTCTTTTTTGTTTGTTGTTGTAAAGAAGTAAATCAAATAACTAGCAAAACCAAAAGATCACAAGACACAATATTTACATGGTTCGGTTAAGGTGACCTACATACGGGAATGAGGGGAGTATTCTTTATTTCAAAGATCTCAACACAGAGGTTACAGGTACAATTACACACAGATTCTCCTACACTCTAGAATTCAAGATACAAAATAAACGAGCATGCATCCTTATTTATACTTGAGGGATCATACCTAAAACCCTATTG